GTACTTTTGATACTTTTGACTGAATTGTCTAGCAACTTTTATGATGGTGGTTGTTGTTGTTGTTTATTATAATATTTTATGACTGAATTGTCTAGCAACTTTTATGATGGTGGTTGTTGTTGTTGTTTATTATTCATTAAATAATATTTTATACATAATAGTAGTATTTGGTGTGTGTGTGTGTGTGTGTGTGTGTGTGTGATGGTGATTTTAGTGACATTGTTATGCCATTAGATGGTGACAAGAGACTGTTTTACGAGTCAGCAGTAAAGACTTACATTGAAAGAGACTGAAACGGAAGTTTATTTTTACTTTAAACAACAGCTTGTTAGACACAGTTAGCAAATGCAGTGAGCAGCGCTGTCATCAGAAATCACCCTTAACAGATGAAAGGAGAGTATGACAAAGATATCGCTTTCCTCAGCAGACATTCAAACTAATGTTTTATATATAAGATTGAGCTGAAGAATGAATGCTGTATCAGATGCAGGTAATCACACTCGCTCAGTTCATCTCTCTCTCATAATACTCCACATAACCTCCTGACAACCAGCTATGGAGTTTTGCCCTCTCTAGAGGACATTATTTTTTAGCGATTTCTCTGAGACCTTACATGTCACAGTTGTAAGTCTGGATGTCCTGTAAAGAGCACATTCAGGGCTTTTCAGAGATACCAAATGTATGAATGTTTCACCATGACCCCTCTCCTTGGTCTTTAAAAATGGCTGACATAAATTTAGTGATCAAATTCAACACCCTTGTGGAAATATGATAATATTTTGTAATGATCATTTAAATCTGACTAATTTTCCGATTGTTTGTCAACATCAATCAACATCTCAGGAAAATGTTATGGGGATTCACATCAAAATATGACTTTCTGTTACGAAACAGGACATTGATTTCATAAATGTCCACTGTAGAGGACACCAAGACTAAAAGCATGTGTATTACACATTTTGGAAGACACAACAAATTAATAGGGAAATAAATTAGGGAAAGTAAGTAGTTCTGCACAAAAGACTGTTTTTAAAGACACTCCGTTTTTGTTTTTCTTATATATTTACACACTTGTTCCGTCAAACTGTTGTATAAACGCAATATCACACTCGTAGATGTGAGATATGGCTGTATATCGGCACACTGTGATTACCTGCGGCCTCGTGCCTACGGCTGAATCACAGCCGTGCCGATATACAGCCATATCTCACGTCTACAAGTGTGATATTGCTCATAATTCCAAGGTGACGATGTGTTGCTTTTGCTGTACATAGGGTAAAAATGACTTCAGAAAGATGAACTTTAGAAACAACATTCATATCACATTTTACTTCCATGATGAGGGTGAACACATTAAAACGAAGCATGAATTTATAATAAATACAACCTATTAAACTAGAAAACACCATATATAAAAAGCTAAAAAACACTAGTAAATAGAGGTAACACTTTACAGTAGGGCTAATTTCATATCAAACCAACTAAATTTCAGAAACCTCCCCAGCTTAAACTTTTGATTTTGTCAGTTTTTTTTTTTCCTGTAGAAAGAGAAACATAGTCATGAAAGCCAAAATATTAAATGTCATGGGTGAATATTTACAGAGTAATCAACTTTTGTAGATGGAGGTAAAAAAAATAAAAAATTTTCACCTGATTCAGAGCCAAATTACAGTAGGGTAAAAATGACTACAGAAAGATGGCAGCGTCATTATATTATTTTGACACAGTGATTGGAAGGTCTATTAGTAAAATCCATTGACTTCTTTGTTGCATTATATGCTATGTATTTTTGGCACTCAGACAGGTGCTCTATGTTCTATGCAGTTGTTTTGATAATGGGAAAGAAGATGCATTTCTAGTTTCAATATTATATGTAAGCAAAGTGACCCACATCTGGTTTTTGACCATTGAAAATCGGTAAAATTTGGACAATTTGGACATGGAGCTGCATTGAGATCCCCGCATCTCTGGAATTGAACCATATAGGGCCTTAAAAATTAAGATTACAAAAGTAAAGTTTGTTAAGAACCGAAATCTAAAAAGATATTAAGATATCTTTAATACTTCTTGAGTTACAGGCATGCAAACTTCAAGGGGGGGAAAAAAGAGTGCTTTTTCCCATTTTTAGCTGGGGATCTCAGGTTGAGTTGACACAGAATTATGGTCTTTATTACTTTGTTAACGTTAGTTAATACATTAGCTAACATAAGAAATAAACATTATTTGTTTTAGTTTTTTATTTATTTATGCATCATTTATTCATCTTTTATTTTTTTAATGGTATTAGCAAATGTTGAAAGTATAACATTAAGATTAATAAATGCTATAGAAGTATTATTTATTGTTAACTGATGTTAACCAGTTAAAACTTATTATAATGTTTTACCATAATTAACTAAAATTAACTTCCTGTGGCAGATATTTAGTTTCATTATCTGTTTAATGTCACTCTGTAACCAAGAATAAATACATTGTAAATCAACACATCTTTATACATTTTGTTAAGGTGCGTCGTATGCCATTTCAGATGAAAAGAATCAGTACAGTACATTTAAAAATGCTGAAAAAGAAGGTCATTTAGGTACATGGTACCAAGACGTATTCAAAAAGCAGTATGTGACATCAGAAATATTGCATCATTTATATATATATATATAATGCTGATATGTGCAGTGCTCATTTCAGCTCACAACTATGTTTTGAATATACATCATTAAAGAATTTAATTAATTTCTCTCTAAAAGTGTTACTCTGAACCCTGTAGAAAATACATTTTTCAAGGCAGTAAAGTGTCGGCAGAATTTTTAGTAGCCTGTTATGTGTATGATAGAAACTCTTTGTGATTAAAAAGGTTTATGAAAGGACAGTTTTGTTTCATATTTTTTCACTCTCAGTTCATCCTCAGTTCTCAATGCATCAATTTTTACAATCCGTTTCCATTCGAGAACATCTCCTCGCTGAAATTTCACCCTCAACATTGTAAAGCTGGCACGTATTCTTTTCTTTCCAATAAACAGTGTGAAAAAGCAGTCTTGAGACTGGGGCTCGGGCCCAAGTTGGCTGATGTTACCCTGACAACAGCGCAAACGCGCATATCGAGACCAGAGCCAGCGGGACCGTTTGTGTTTCTCTCGTGCCAGAATTCATCTGATCAAAGTCTTTGGTTTGTGGGTGATGGTATCGGTGATTGTTGGTATTTTCCAATGTCACTGCAAGAGAAAAGAGAAAAATGTAAGTCATTCCACTAGACGTGAACTGGTCAGATAGGTTTATTCAAAGCATGTGTTTTCAATGTGTTGAGGAATAAGGATAACTAGTTCAAAAGCAAGTCAACATGAACATCACTATCAGATGTTCCTGGGAAGTTCCTACTTATGAGTCGTAACTATTGCTAACTTCAAGTCGTGATGAAATTATCAAATTTTCAAGAACAAATGCACATGAAGAACTGTTAATATTGTATTGTTAGCGATAAAACTCGCTAAAAAATAAACATTTATTTGGTGCATGAGGCAACATGATTGCATGACTAAACTTTCCATTCATTAATACAGATAAAGCACCAATTACACAGTTGTATAGTTTGAATGCTAAAAATCTGCCTTTCTTTGTATAATAGTGAAAATTAGAACAAAAATAAAAAATAAATGAAATGGCAATATGCATCAGTTTTATTCCAAACTATTTTTTTTGTACTCGAAAACAGGAACTTCTCAGTAAGACTTAAAGGCAGGATTTGTGTCCTAGAGATTTGAAGAACACAATGCATGGGTTGAGCAATTCTGAACAGATTTGGAGAAATAGCATTACATAACAGCATTACATAATTTGCTCACCAATGGATCCTCTGCAGTAAATGGGTGCTGTCAGAATGTCAGAGTCCAAACAAATCCATAAATTGCTAAAATATGAGTCCTCTATCCATAATATTGCTTTCTCCAGGTGTCTCATCTTAATCAGGAGAGAAATATGCATAGATCAAGCACAATTTACAAGCCAAAATAGCCCAAAACAGTTTTAAACAATCATGTCGGTGGATTTTGATGTGAGAGGACAACAGGGGATGGACTTTTGCACTGGAGGAAGCAATATTATGGAATATGGATTTTGGACAGAAGCAACAGTTTAAAGCTAAAATACGTTAATGATGGACTGCAGTCATGTGGATTACTTGTGGATTATTGTGATGTTTTTATAAGCTGTTGGACATTCTGATGGCACCCATTCACTGCAAAATATCCACTGGTGAGCAAGTGATGTAATGATAAATTTCTCCAAATCTGCTCCCATGAAGAAACTCATCTACATATTGGATGGCTTGGGGGTGAATCAATTTTACGCAAATTTTCACTTTTGGTTGAGCTATTCCTTTAAATAACTAAATCATGTATGCAACACAAAATCCATGCACTTTTCAGGCACATTTCTGGGTTTCTATCCCCAAGCTGTCGCTTGAAAATTGTCAGGGATTCAGCATTCCGGATGATTCAGAATGCAGCGGCACGACTGGTTTCAACGAGCCGAAAAGAGCCCATGTTACACCCCTCTTTATCTCCTTGCAGTCTAGTGAGCGATGCCTTGTGGTACCATCACAGAGAGGCTCAAAATCACTTTCTAGAACATTCTCGTTCACCATTCCTGACTGGTGGAATGATCTTCCCACCCCTATCCGGAATGCAGAATCCCTGACAATTTTCTAGCAACTCTTTCAACGCTACTTGATTTCATCCTAAATTAAAAAAATAAATACATTTAAAAATTTTAAAAAAAACTTTGTCTCCTGTATTTATTATTACAGGAGAATCTGATGATTGACAGTGTCAAAAGCAGCAGATAGATCCAGCATAATAAGAACTGATGATTTGGAATGGCAAAAGCTGATTCCAAATCATCAGTTCTTATTCTGCTGGATCTATCTGCTGCTTTTGACACTGTCAATCATCAGATCCTCCTGTCCACCCTCTCATCACGACCCCTCCTCTTCTCCATATACACTACATCACTGGGTCCCATCATACAGGCACATGGGTTATCCTACCATTGCTATGCTGATGACACACAGCACTATCTCTCATTTCAACCAGATGATCCAACGGTAGCTGCACGGCTCTCAAGCTGCCTGGCGGACATCTCGGCATGGATGAAAGAGCTCGATCTTGCAGGTTTGCATTGCACAACATCAGAAAGATCAGTCCCTTTCTAACGGAGCATGCTGCACAACTTCTTGTCCAGGCCCTTGTCATTTCTAGGCTGGACTACTGCAATGCTCTTCTGGCTGGACTTCCATCAAGCACAATCAAACCTCTAAAAATGATTCAGAATGCAGTGGCACGACTGGTATTCAACGAGCCCAAAAGAGCCCATGTTACACCTCTCTTTATCTCGTTGCACTGGCTACCGGTTGCGGCTCGCGTCAAGTTCAAGACATTGATGCTTGCATATAGAACAGCCACACGCTCAACACCCGCCTACTTCCACACACTACTACGAATCTACATCCTCTCCAGGAGTCTGAGTGAGCGACGCCTCGTGGTACCATCACAGAGAGGCTCAAAGAACAGAACATTCTCGTTCACCATTCCTGGCTGGTGGAACGATCTTCCCACCCCTATCCGGAAAGCTGAATCCCTGACCATTTTCAAGCGACAGCTGAAAACTCATCTCTTTAAACGCTACTTGACTTCATCTTAAAAAAAAAAAAAAAAAAATTAATCTCTTTATTTATTCCTTCCCTTTTCTAGCTTGTACTTATTTGAACAATGTCCTAAAACTTGGTATTACAAGCACTTCCTGTGTCTGTTTGCCTCTTTAAGAAGAATCGTTTTATGTATTCCCTAATTGTAAATCGCTTTGGATAAAAGCATCTGCAAAATGACTAAATGTAAATGTAAATGAAGATGATGCTTGTCAAATTGACACATTTCAAACCTAATATATCTAGCTAGCTAGGCTAACCATTGTGTATCCATAATTTTTTGCATGCATTTCTTTAAATTGCTATTCCCTAATTCTAAAAGTTGGGGCTTAAATAAAATCAAAAGTCAAAATGATTGGCTTGCAAATAATCGTAAATACACTCATTCCAACAAGGCTTGACGGAAATCATGCAATTGGTTAGTTACAAGTTTTCAACATACACTCCCCATATCCATTAGAGTTTTAAAGTCTAATTCAAATGGATGTACATAACGAATGCTGCATATACTGTAACAAAGTGCACAATGCATAGTTTCCCATCGCTCTTGCCAGAGGAGCTTCACAAGCCAAAAACTACAACTGTCCCTCAGTAAGATCCTGCTCTCAACAAAAGAGCTATGAAATATTTCTTTTTAAAACTGAGGAATCATTCAAGACAAGAACTGCTCACATTTCTTGGCATTGGACTGCTTGGGAACATTTATTTAAACTCTGATATGTTTGAATATGCTTGGCGAAACATAATCCATTAATAACGCAGTATGAGTTTGGAAGGGACTATTCATATTCAAAGAGCAAACAAAAGGTATTGTGAGTTAGACGGCCTTACAAAAGCAGCATACAGCCTTTGCTAGGGTCAGCGAAAACCATTGACATATCTCCCTCAAGAAACCACAAATCATGTTTGAGCTTTTGTCAAATAAATCTGTGGACTAAAATTAAGCAGATATCGATTCGCTGCTCTGATGTCCCCAGACGGACATTTTAAAGGACTGATCGGAGACACAAGTCGGGTATTTGGCAGCCTGCTGGTCCGGCTCAAGACATCGATCCTCGTGCATCTTCAGAAGAGGCTCAATGAGAAACGCTTGCATCCGATGTGACTTGTGAGAAAAAAAACATGCCAGTGGCGGTCAAGGTACAAATCCTGCCCATGCTGGGGCTCTTCAAAGCCCACCGCAGCTTTGTGAACACACAGAACAAACAAAGGCGAACAGGACAATCCAAGCGTCTCATCTGCACCACTGCTGATTCTGATAGATCTTCAAAACAGAATAACAAAAGCAAATACAGGACGACTTTTTGTAAACTGACTATGTGATCTGATAAACAATGACCTCATATGCGTATGCCGGCTTTTAAGATGTATTCTTGTCATATATGTTTATTTGCAAAAGATTAATTCTACAATTCATCAACTCTCATTGAACGTTAAAATAAAAGAATTGTTGCTGCAAATGAACATCAGTGTTAACATAAAAAAATAAAACAATTAATTAATTAATAACTACATTAACAAATACTGGCAGTACTGTAGTCTCCAAAGGGCAGTTAATATATATATATATATATATAT